CTTGAAAGTGATATATAGTTTAAATAATATATAGCATTTTCGCAAAGTTTGGCATTGTTTACTTTGGTGTTTTCTGTCAATTGATAGTGATAAATGTTAGCTCATATTAGTTTAAAATTTACTTACAGGTCTAAATATTTTAATATACTATTTAGGAAAAAAAATTATAAGATCAAAAAATTAACAAAAGTAAATACACCTTTAAACTCTATCAGTACTCAAAGAATTAAGAATTTATTTGACAATCAACTTATGATATTTTTAACATCAGCAGATTACTAAAAGGAATTAATTAACCTACTTCTGACAAACAGCTATGAGAATTGAAGACAGATGAGACCAAGAATTTTTCGACTTGAACTTTTTCCCGCCTTGCATCTCAAGGCAATATTATTTGTAGGGCCCAAATTTTTGAAACATTCATCTAAGAGCAGTGCTAGGGGAAGTCGCCTCTTGCACTCTCCGGCCAACACTTTCCCTTTTATTGGGCCACGTTATTTTGTTTACGAGAGGTTGCAGTTCAAGGCTAAAACAAGCTTACGTGGCCCAATGAAAGGGGAAGTATTGGCAGGAGAGTGCAAGAGGCGAGTGCCCCTGGCACTGGTCTTCATCTAATGCAAACCGCATGCTGATTATTTGTAGGGCCCATATTATTCAAAGCAAACCGCGTCTTGATTATTTGTAGGGCCCATATTATTTAAAGCAAACCGCGTCCTCACCCAACTTACCTCTCTTGACCTTTCAAAGAATTAGTTTTCTGGTCCCATTCCAGTTTCCATAGGCAACTTAAGGCAACTTACTAGCTTATACCTCTATTCTAACAATCTTAGTGGGCAAATCCCATATCACTTGTAAACCTCACCCAACTTACCTCTCTTACCCTTTCTAATAATCAGTTTACTGGTCCCATTCCAACTTACATAGGTAACTTAAAGCAACTTACTAACCTGCACCTCTCTCCTAACAATTTTAACAGACAAATCCCATCATCACTTGCAAACCTCACACAACTTCGCGATCTCTTCCTTTCTTATAACTTATTTAATGGCATGTTGCCACCTTGGATTTTCAACCTACCTTTCTTAGAGTAAGACGTATAAAGTCTGGCATTGTTTACTTTGGTGTTTTCTGTCCATTGATAGTGATAAATGTTAGCTCATATTAGTTTAAAATTTACTTACAGGTTTAAATATTTTAATATATTATTTAGGAGAAAAAAATTATAAGATGAAAAAATTAGCAAAACTAAAAACACCTTTAAACTCTATCAGTACTCAAAGGAATTAAGAGTTTATTCAGCAATCAACTTATAATATTTTTAACATCTGCAGATTAGAAAAAGGAATTAATTAATCTACTTCCAGTAAGTGGCTATGAGAATTAAAGATAGATGGTACCAAGAATTTGGACTCATTCTGAGTACAATGAGCATTTTTCGACCCAAACTTTTTCCTACACTCCTTGTTCAGGCCTTTCACACTAACATTAAGACGTATAATGTTTCTTTTAGGATTCTGCTCTTGTTCTTCCCTCTTGTTTGTGAATTGGTATTCTTTCCATGGAAAAAGTTCATATAGTAATTGAAGATTACAATGAAAGAGAAACTAAGTCAATGCTTATTAAGTTAATGTTTATTATTTTCTTCTTTCATCTCTTGAACTCAATTGAGATTAGTGAAGGTGTTTGGTAAAACTTAAAAAATATTATTTTTTTCACAAATTTAAAATTTTATTAGAAAGAAATACTTAAAATTAACTATTTAAGTGTATTTTAGATAAATTTTTAAAAAATTATACATCTAAAATTTTTTCAAAACTTAATTAATATTCACTTTAAAAAACAATTTTTAATTTTCCGTAAACAAAATTTCAAACTTATAAATAGTACTTTAAAACAAATGTTTTTTGACATTTGCTAAACACCTTTAATATATTTGAGAAGAGCCTTTAAAAAATAAAATTTCAAATACTTGCATTATTACAGGAGTAGTGGGGTGAGCACAGAGCAAACTTTTTTCATTGTGGCCTTCATAATTCATATAATATTAGAAGAGACTAGTGTCATTGTGGCCTTCATATAATATTAGAAGAGACTAGTGGATCATCATTAACTATAGAATATGCATAATAACATAATTTTTCGTTTAGCTAGGAATTGATTCTAAGAAAGCAATTACAAGGAAACATCTGAAATTAATGCGACTGATAGTCATTGACTAACATTAAAGAAGAGCTAATAAGTGGAATCAACTCTGCAAATGCAATAATTCTTTTGAGTCTTTTAGACATTATAAAGGACAAGTAAAGCTAGAAGCAAAAACAAAGTCTTTTCCGCTACTTTCTGACTTCTTTGAAACCCTTGTATAAAGTATGCAAAACTAGACTAGAGCAAGGCCCAGGAACAGTATCAAAACAACAAATATCACAATGACAGGATATTAGATATTTATTTTGAACAAAAATGTATATAAAGAACACAATGAATTATCTTAATCAATTATTTATCATAATAAGAGCAAAAAAAATAAAATAAAATAAAATCATACCACTAAATCTTCATTGTTGTCATGACAAAACTTTTCTCATCTTCAGTTATTAGCATTTGATGTTCAATTGTTGAAATTAGGAGATTTCCTACTACTGAGGACAAAACTTTTTAGCATTTTTTTAATCAAGGATATGACATTAACTTTATTAATCAAAACTAGTATTTTTAAAATTTTATAATTAAGGATATAATATTTGTAATTTGGCTAAAAAAATTAAGTGAATGTGCACAAGTTTATATATGATTGATTAAAAAACTTTAAGAAGATGGTAATTTTAATTAGTAAAAAAAATACCATTTCTTTTAATCAAAAAAATTATAATTTTGATGCATTACTAATAATTATAAAATTATTTTAAATAAATAATTTAAAAATTAAATGAAAAAAACTCTAAACCTACTACATTGCTTCAATAAACAAGGAGTTTGTTTAGGGCATGGTTGAGGCTGAGAACTATACTTCAGTTGTGGATATATTTACACTTAAATTCATTAGGGTTATACAAATTATGAAATTTTTATTTAA